GTCTGTCTGTCTGTCTGTCTGTCTATCTATCTATCTATCTATCTATCCCTATCTATCTATCTATCTATCTATCTATCTATCTCTATCTATCTATCTATCTATCTATCTATCTATCTATCTATCTATCTATCTATCTATCTATCTATCTATATCACTCCTTATCACCCATCCCCTCCTACTTGTGACTGTATGACTAACTGGTTCTGGGTAACATTCATATTAATCCAATTCACAATTCACAATTTGTAATCTCTATCACGTTTATCAAATTTAAGTAATCCTCCTTATACTGTTCAAACACACATAAACAAAAAAAATGCCAAATTCCTCATCTTGGCTTCTATCTTTCTTGGTCAATCTCAACGTTTCTTTATTACATATGAACAAATTTTGACTAGGTATCATTCATATTGATCCAATTCACGCTAACCTATGTCCTGAGTTCACCCTGTCACTGAACCACAAATTAACCCGCCAAGCTGAAATCAGGCAGGGGAAATTAATCCAGATTAGGCAATCCTTTCCTCATTTAGCAAGCTGCACCGATGCCTTTCCGTGACCTAGTTAAGAGAGTTGTGAGAAGAGAAAGAGATATTTTGCAGGAACGTTATGCAACCAACGGGTTTTCAGCTTGGAACCTCTGCATTTATGGTGCGCAGAACATTTTAAAAGACAAGGACTGGGAGGATCCTTTCCACCTTCCATTTTAAGAAGAAACTGGATAGCCGCTTGTCTGAAAGAGTATAGGGTCACCTGCTTGAGCAGGGGGCTGGACTAGAAGACCTCCAAGGTCCCTTCCAGCTCTATTCTGATTAAAGCAGCCAAGGTTGGAAACCCCTGTGCTAGAAGTTGCCTATGTCTGCAGTCTCTTCCTGGAACTTTGCACTTATAGGCGCATCTTTCTTTTTTTTGCGAACTCCTCATGCAAGAACTTATATTCCCCCACCAAAAAATATCTTCCCTCCCCCTCTCACCTGATACCTCCCCCCCTTTAATAGAGAGGGAGAGAGAAAAAAGTCCCCAGTGTTTCCTCTAGCCGAAGGACTTTGAAATCAACAAACCGTTTCTTGATTGCTGTTTTTCCGTTCTAAAATGGGGGAAATTCGGGTACTAATTCTCTCCAAAGCTAGATTGCGGATGGGAAAATAGGCTGGGCAGGAGATGTGTGGTTTGTATCCTAAAAGAAGTGTGCTCTTTCTCTCCGACAGAGAGAGAGAGAGAGAGAGACAGAGACAGAGACAGAGACAGAGAGAGAGAGACAGAGAGAGAGAGACAGAGAGAGACAGAGAAAGACAGAGAGAGACAGAGAGAGACGGGGGGGAGGAGAATGGGCTGTTACCGGTTCTCCCCGGTTTGGATGAACCGGCCGCTAATTTTATCACTGTTTTTTGTTTTTTTAATAAAATTTTATTTTAGTTTTCCACATATTAAAAAACATCTTTTTTGAGTGAAGGGCCTGGTTCCAGGTTATCACATTTCCATACAAACATGACTTTAATTTCATTCTCATCTTTCACATTTAATTTCATATCCTACCGTTACTTCACATAGTTTCTATTATTTTTGTCAGATCCTTTCCTCCTGCTAATTTTATATATTTTTTCCTATTCATAATTAGCCGATTTCCTTAAACTTTAAATAATTCTCGTACCCTTATATTCATTATACTTTATGCTTTTATCCACCAAGTTTGCAATTTCATCGCATATTCTTATTTCAGTATTCCGAAAATTCCATCACAATTCAAACATCCCCCAAAAAATTTCCCCCACAATTGCCAATTTCCCTACAGCTTACCTAATATTTAATTCATCCCCCTTTAAATCCCACTAATTATTTAACCTTTAATTATCACCTAAAAAAAATCAATAATAATCATCTTCTAACAACAATATTGTATATATACCTTTTAGGCCAGATTTTATCATTGTTAATGACCGGTTCGGCAAACCGGGAAATCCTAATCCTGGCTGGCCCCGCCCACCCTGCCCCGCCCCTCCCAGAAGTCCCCACCTGGCCTGTTTTGGATGCCAGGTAAGTGCGTGGAGGCTTTGGGAGAGCCAAAAATTCCCTCCCGGAGGCTCAAAGACAGCTTCCGGAGCCAGCCGGGCGAGGGTGAAAATTGCCACCACCCCCGCCATGGTGCAGGAGGCTAGCTAGGCCACGCCCACCATGGCCACGCCCACCCAGCAACTGGGCAGAGAACCGGTTGCTGAAATTTTGGAAGTCATACATAGCGGTTAATCTTTCGTCACCTAATTTCCACCTCTTATCTCCAACCGCTCGTAAAATCTATTCCCCGTTAAGTGATATTCCGCGTCTCCTTTGTCCTTTATTTTTTTTCCTTCAAACGATTTAGTTTCCAGGGTGTTTAGAAGTTTCTTGTTGTCCCGGTTCAGCCAACACTTTCACTTTCTCCTACTTCCTCCTGCACGAATCTTACCCGGGCTGCAGGCTTCTTTGTGGCGGCCATTGCTGACCGCCGCTCCACCGCCTTGGGAAAAAAGGGGTTTTGCCGGCTGAGGAGGGGGTTTGCGATACCCCCAAACCCCAATCCGGATCCCCTCTCTCTTCGGTTGCCTCTACGGGGCAACCATATCCTCCAGATCCGTTTGGATCGGAGGCACCTCGGCAGCGAGCGCGGCAGGAATCACGGAGAGTCGCAAATCCCTGCCGCCGCTGAAGCCTTGCAAAACCAGAAGCCCCGTCCTTTATGTTTTTAATGTAAATCTATCCATCTTTGCGCCATCTGATCATATTTCCTGAATGATATACGATGACGCAGCTCCCCATTTGCAATTTTCCTTTCGATATGAAATTCTTTCAATTCTTTCTCACTTAATCCTATCAGTGCCACACTGCCTATGTCTACGACGGTGAATTTGGTTGTATGTATATACTGTGTATATATATGTACAAAGACAATAAAGAATTCAATTCGGTGAAGTACAGGCAGAGTCCTTGACTTCTGACCGGAATGGAGCCCAAAATGTCTGCCGCTAAGCAAGACGGTTTTTAAGTGGGTGTTTGGCCATTTATTACGACCTTGTCACAGTTGTTAAGTGGATTGTGCTTGGGGGGGGGTGTTCCCTGCAAGGGGTTGGACTAGAGGATCTCTGAGGTCCCTTCCAGACTTGGGATGTTATATTTTTCGAAGCCTGAAGGCCTTTGGAAAAAGCAGCAATTTTACCCATTTATTCTTCCAACTCAAAGCTGCCCAAGGAAGAAAGAAAAACTTCATTAAAAAGAAAAACGCCTCCGATTGTTATGGTCCGAGCGTTTTAATTTTCACTTAATGATCCCGGGTTGGTTTGCTTTTTAATGGTTTTGCCATCTGAGCCGTAGTGTTGTTTCATTTCAGGAAACCGCAGAGAATAAATGGGATCTCGATGGTTTAGAAGCCGAATAAATAAATAAATGAGTCAATAAATAAAAGAGAAAGTTGAGCTGAGCAGGAAAAAAAAAAAGAAAGAAAAGAGCTGGAGAGAACCAGCCCAAAACAAACAAAAAACATAGAAAGTAGCAGCCAAAAGCTTTCATAGAATAGAATAGAATAGAATAGAATAGAATAGAATAGAATAGAATAGAATCAGAAGGGATCTTGGAGGTCATCTAGTCCACACACCCCGCCCAAGCGGGAGACCCTATACCATTTCTGACAGATGGCAGTCCGGTCTTTTCTTGAAAGCTTCCAGGGATGAAGCTCCCACAACTTCCAAGGGCAACTTCTGGTCTATTGAATATAGAATAACAGAATCGGAAGGGACCTTATAGGTCATCTAGTCGAACCCACCACCCATGCAAGAGACCCTACGCTGTTTCTGACAAATGGCAGTCCAGTCTCTCCTTGAAAGCTTCCAGGGATGAAGCTC